TCTCTCTCTCCCCCAACCCTCCCCCCCCCCCCCCCCTCCCTTTCTGCTCCACTTCTTTCAGAGTTTGTTTGGCACAGATTTTTTTAAGTGAAATATTTTTTTTGGAGAATGTGTGGTTTAAAGCGTGGATAAAAGTCATGGGTCCAATGAAATGTGTGGTTAAAATTATTTTAGAAAAATCTGGGCCGAATACGCTCTTGATCATTTGTTTTTCCTAGAAGTGTCTCTTTTTCTGGTTGGAAAGGGGAGGGAAGAAGTGTGTTCAAGTTGGGCCTGTTTAGATAAAAACTTGATAGGTACATCATAATTGTGTTGTATACAGTCATAGTTTTTGCCTATTTGGTCATTGTAGGAAGAAGATCTATGTAATTCCATTATCTTAAACTGATAAATGATATTTTGCTCTAAAATGATAAATTTATATTAATGGTGCATAAAATTTCTTCAGGTCAGTTATGCGAGAGAAAAAAGCTCAATTTATAGAAATGGAGCTATGCCCATTGTTGACGTACTATAATAAATATAGCATTCGGAGCTGTTATTATATGCTGTATTGTCTGTTTTCAAGCCTTAAAAATGTATATCCTCAGTTTCCCTATCTATGCATTTTTGCAGCTATGCAATGGAATGGATGAAAATGCTGTTGGTACCTGTGCTGAACTCATATTTGCCCCAATTGATGCCTCTCTTGCTGGTGATGCTCCTCTTCTGCCTTCTGGTTTTCGTATAATTCTTCTTGATTTGTGCAAGGTTCGTGTTCATAGACGAGTTTTTTTGTGATTTCATTTGCATATTTCCACCTTTATACCAGTTAAAAAGAAAAAAATAGGAATCTTACTGATCAATGAATTCATCGTAACCCCACGAATAAATGGGTTTCTATCTGCTCTTAATTTGACAGAGAGTGTGGCTTCTAGTCTTTGTTAATTTGATAATATATTAAAAGGTATAATATTTCCAAGAAAAAAAATCTTAACTATTGCAGTTGACAAAGATGGACTTCCAAGAGGCAAGAACAAGAAAAAAATTGCTTAATATTTATGTACATAATAAACCAATTCAAGGGATGAATCTTGAAGTTTACACCAGCCACATTCTGAGCAGCTCAATGGAATTGGGCAATGTTTATTTGATAAGCTGCTATGTTCCGTAGGAAAACTCCAGTCCAAGTCGCACCCTGGACTCGCTTCTGCTCTTGAAACTAAGACAACAGGAAATAAAAGCATCAATTGGTGATGCTGTTATCAGTGGTGCTACCAGATCTGTAATGCCGATTGCATTTCAATTTGCATTTGAAAGCCAGATGCAAGAAAAATTTACAACATTGGCCCAACATGTATGTAGCATCATATCATCAGTTCAGCGGTTGACATTAGCACTTTCTCCATCTCATCTAGGCACCCACGGCGGTCTTGGATCACCATGTGGAACTCCTGAAGCTCATGTTCTTGCTCGTTGGATTTGCCAAAGTTACAGGTAATTTAAAGAGACTATATACACATAAATGTATAATTGTACTTCAACATTATAGATCTTTTTATCTTCATTTTACAACGGTCCTGAATTAATCACATTTTTGTTTTTAACTTATTTCAATGGAGCTTTGGGTAGTTCTATTTACTAAAACCCATTCACTCTGAAGAAACAATCTTCATTTTGTTTCTCTTCAATCATTATATCCTTGTTTTCTGTTCATATTTTTTGAAGGTAATCATGGAATTGTTCTTTAATTGGAATGCCGCTATTAGTTCAAGCTATTTGGATACGTTGTCAAAGAGCTTAGTGGTGACTGGCGTTATGGTGTAATTTACTCTTATTGATGTTTTCTTTAAAAAAAAAAAAAAATTAACAATATTTATTTTCTAACTAATATAACTTGGATTAACTATAATATACACTTCACACACTTTTCTTATGATTAAAGTTTTACTAAACATGATGAGGAATTTAGATGAGGGTTGTACTGTACTTCGGAGAAAATGCAGTCAAGCAGAGAGTCCCAAGATTGGTTGAACTTCATTAGCAACTATAAGAAACCAAAGGGACAAGGTTAGGCGAACTTAATATGCTATAATTGGCATAAAACTTTATAATGTGTCAAAGATAATGGTACCAAAGTCATCACGAAAACGAAAGAAACACTTTATAATGTGGTGGTAAAGGGATTGAATCCATCCTCAAAGCTCTTTGGCATCACTAGATGCTATTATGTGCTGCTCCATGAAGGTTGCCTATTTATATTTTTGCGGTTTTGCCTCCTGCACCCCCTCCCGTGAATTTAATTTCAGCAGATATTAGAGGATAGGAACATTTGTAGCCGAAAGGCCTAAAATTACTCAAAAAGTTACTTTTTATTTTGTAATGGAGTGATTTTTTTTTTTTTTTTCATTTTCCTTTACTTCAAAACTTGCTGCTGGCGTTGCCTGTTTTCAGTTTTGCAAACTAGGCAGGTCTTGACATGCTCGAGATGACCTTGGCTGCACTTCAAGATATAACTCTCGAAAAGATACTCGATGACCATGGAAGAAAAAATCTATGGTCCGAGTTCCCACAGATAATGCGGCGGGTGAGTCATTCCTTTACATATTACACTATGTTTGATATGCTGGATTGGACCACAATCGACAAGACTAAAGGAGAAAAAGAAGTATTGTCCTGTGTAACTGTGCATGTATTGAGTACTCAATACATGCATTTTGGAAATAAACTGACACAAGCAAAATAAGAGCAACAGGGGCTCCTGATAATGTGGCCAGAAGTAGAAAACGCCACGTTCTTAATATCAAAAAAAAATATTTTTTAATAATATGATTAGATCTTTCCGGCAACCTTATTAGCTGTATCAGTGTAAGGTGGTCTCTTATTATCTGAAACTTTAAGGAGAACAACCGGGAGCTAATATATGATTGTCTTGGCTGCGCCTTTTGACAGGGTTTTACATGTATTCAAAGTAGTATCTGTTTGTCGAGCATGGGAAGGCCAATCTCCTATGAGAGAGCAGTGGCTTGGAAAGTTTTGAATGAAGACGACTATGCTCATTGCATCTGCTTTATGTTCGTGAATTGGTCTTTCGTCTGGTTGAAGGGTTAAATGTATCAGACCGTGAAGAACGTGAAAAGTACCTTTTGATTTACTGATTATGGGATAAAATCTTGAAGAAGCGGTTGAATTTGACCCCCTGTTATCATGCATTCTGTTTTAGGTCTTTTCATGTGAAGTTCTATGTTATACTTTCTTGAAATGCATATGCAAATTGTAGTAAGTTGCAAAGTGTAGCTTGAGAAGTGAATTGGTCATTTTTTGTTGAGGGCCCGTCTCAACATAACCTGCCTTTCTTGACGAGAGAGTCCACAGCCCGTCTGAGCTAGGTTGGCACCTCGACCCACGTTCCGACTGCCTAACTCTCCTACATGTACATGGATGACCATGTGAGATTGAGTATAACAATTACAAAATTTATCTCTTGAATTGAATGGTAGCCTAAGCCTTTCAAAAATTTAACTACATTCAAAATTCTTTCCTTCAACCAGGGATAAAGTAGGTATGATGAATGAAGAATTCATTTCTTGATTCCATTTAAGAATCTAGGATAGCCCAGTAATGGGGAATGTCGATCGATCTTCTTGTCCGTCCACTTTTCAGCAATTTGGCTCTGTGGGCAAATAAGTATGTCGGAGAGAACTTACGAGAAGAGTGTAATAGAAATTAATAACTCAAATTATTTATTTTGCTTTCAAAGGAATTATTCCTCGATATAGTTTACTTGATTGGCACTTGCTCGAGAATTATAAAACGTAAAATATATAATGATGTTGGAAGAATGTAAAAAATCTTTTACTAATGTAATGTTTGAAGGAGGACGACGATTGGAAAGTCACTTTCTATTTTGTGCTAAAATGGAAAATTCCTTTTCTGTCAATTAATATGCCGTCTGGGGGACGGGAAAATCTAGAGGTGTCAAGACGGACGGGCCGGCCATGACCCGTAAAAATCGGCCCGTGAAAATCGGGACCGCGGGCCGACCCGTGACCCGCGCGGGCGGTTCACGGGCCAAGGAGGTGTAACCCGCGGGCTTCGCAGGTTG